TGGCCGCCCGGGGGAGCCACTGCAGCCAGGGCTGGGGTGAGTGGGGCTGTGGCCCTTTCCCCTCCCCACCACAGATTTACCTGCTTGGACAGGGGGGGTATCTATGCTGATCGCATAAGAGTGAATTTACCTTGCATATAATGAATTATGGGTCTAAATATGCTCATTGCATAAGAGCGAATTCTCATATAAAGAACCCACATAAATCGATGGAAACCTGTAGTAATAAAAAAGCATCTGCCAAATAGCACTAGATATCAATCAAATACAACATCAGCTAAAGCATATTTCAAATACAAATTTACAAGAAGCCAGTATACTTAGCACAGCTTCCCAGAGAAATGCATCATACATGTAAACCAGATTGATAAATATTTCCACAGAAGAGCCCTTCTTCCTCTGCTGCCTGCCTTCCAAATACTTGAGACAAAGGAGTTACTAGATGCCCTGAAGGTCAACAGATTTGGGCTGTTTTGTACCATAAGAAGTAAAGGAAATTAAGGTCCCCTTGGAGAAAGTTCCATCCCATTTAAGTTGAATTAGACTCCAAACTCAGGTGTCTCTGTGAATGATAACAATGCTGCATGGAGAAAGGGGGGCCTCCTAGGTAGACAGATTTGAAGACCATTTAGCATAAAACTATTAAAATTGTTACTTGAAGCCAGTGAACAACCAGGGGAGATTATAGAGTGCTAATATAAAGTAATTGGTAAGTAAGGGGTGCTGCACCAATACAAGCTTCCAGATGAAGCCATACATAGAGCTGGATGCACTCATGTCAGCAGTCCCTCAATATGGGAATGGCAATCTTCCAGTAAATAAGGAAGTTATCAGCAGGGATCCTGGTTTTCTCTGATTAAAAAAAAATCCCCAATTTTAAGATTTAAAAAAGTAACCCAAAATCCACACCACTATATATATATATATATATACACACACATATATACATACATACACACACACACACACACACACTAAACACCACTATATGTGTGTGTGTGTGTGTGTGTGTGTATGTATATATATATATATATATATACACATACACACACACACACATTTTAATCACAGAAAAATGTGACTTTGGGTTACTTTTTTAATCCAAAAATTTGGGATTTTTTTATCAGAGAAAACCAGGATCCCTGGTTATCAATGAGTCTGTAGACAATCAACAAGGTTGATCTAAGATCTGCATGTTCGACTGCATACATGGCAAATAGTTCTGGAAGGAAGGAGTAGATCCTGGTGATGTTGGGTCATTGCTCTTCCCTTTGCCTCTCATCTATCTGTCTCCATAGTGAAAGATTGATGCTTTGTTGTTTCTCATGGTTCCACTGGGGACAATTCAGTTTTTGAGTCTCCCGGGTACTAATGCTGATATTACATTTCTTTGGATTGGCCTTCCTCTAGAGCAGTGACCACTGGTGAGTTAAAAGTACAGGACCTGTTTTGGGAGCCAGTTGTTAGGCAACATTAGGACATATGCTATCCAATAAAGCTGGTGCTGTGTAAGCATGGCTTCAATGCTGGTGGTGTCTTCTTGAGCGAGGGTGCTGGTGTTGGTCCACCTGTCCTTCTAATTGATTTGGAGGATTTATCCAAGTCACTGCTGATGGTAACATTCTAAGGCTTTCAGGTGTTTCTGATATGCTGTCCAACTATCACAGCTAGATAACAGGGTAAGAATAAAAACAGCCTGGTAGATGAGAAGTTGTTTTCGGTCTTGATGTCATGATCATCCAAAAACATGATTTCAAAGATGTCTAAAGGCAGCCCTGGCAGATTTTATGTAGTCTGAATATTGTCATCTGTTTATTTTTAGGAAAGTAGGGGAAATGTTGGGATTACCCTCTAACTGAAATATGTGGAAGAGCTGCTGGTTGATTTGGGGTGGGTTGGGAAAATATCATGAAGTTGGCAGTGGGTCCAGGCACTTCATATGCTTCACAGAAGCAACCAAGAGTGCCCTGGAGCACTAAATTGAGTGGGCACATGCAATGCAATTATCAGCATATTGAAGATCAGTAATGGAGGTATTGGTTATTTTGGATTTGGAATGCAACTTGATGTTGAAGAAATTGTTGTCCATGCAATCCAGGTGGAAGCCTATCAGCAACGAGATGCAGAATAGCTGTAATACATATGGAAAACAGTGTTGGTGTAATCACACATCCTTGTTTGACTCTGATTCTAATACTAAAGAGGTCTGTTTCTGAGCCATTGCTTAAGATAATTGCTGTCATGTAATTGTGAAGAAGTGTCATGATGGTAACAAATTTTGATGGGCATCTAAATTCATTGGGATAGGCCATAGGGCCTCTCTGCTGATTGAATCAAAGGCCTTAGTCAGGTCAATGATGGTCATGTAAAGATCTCTATGTTGCTCATGGCACCTCTCCTGCAGCTATCTTGCAATAATGTGTGTATCTACTGTACCTCAGAGTGGCCTGAAATTACATTGGGAGTTGAGTAGAAGCTCCTCAGCAAGGAAAGCGAGTCTGTTGAAGAGAATGAGGGGTGCTGGCTACACTGTTCACCTTCAAAAGGGATACCCTTGCTTATAGCAGTTTCTAATCACACTCTTAATTGCAAAACCAATTAAAAATCAGCAAATGCAACCCTCCATCACCCTTAGTTGTTACCTCTGCCTTCCTCTATCACCTGACAGAGATCTGGACACTTTTACCCAGTTAGCCCTCTGCTGTGCCCCATTTCATTACCATACTAGAAGAGGGGGATCTGTTACTCTCAGGGAGCAAGCAGTAAGGTTCGTTTTCTGAATGGTGGCTGTGGTTCAGGCTCTGGGTGTCCAGGCTGCACCAGCAAGGATACCTGGAGCTTTACGCACACAGCTCTGCTTATTGAACTAGGAACGAACTGATCCAAGTCAAGGCTGCATCTGCATCTAGTCTGACAGCCAGGAATTCTGGGCTGCGGGGCGTTGACAGCTGGCACCGCCGTGCCCGTGAGGGGCTTGCAGCTTAGCCACACTCCTCCTCCTAGGAAGCAGCGCTGGGGCTGCGGGACTCCGCACTTGAGATTGCACCAGCGAGCCCTGCCGAGTGGCTATGCTGGGACCCGAGTTCACACGCAGATTTGTGCTGCGAGTGGGGAGAAACGCATCTCCTTTAGTTTTGTTCCTCTCTGGTCTCGCCTGGCAGAGCAGCCCGACTTGCCAGGACTCACCTCCCGTGTCCATAAGCCTCCACGCGGTCCAGCGTGATAACACGGAGGCGGGGTGCAGCCCCGCACACGGGCCGAGCACAGGGACTGTCCGCCCCCGGCCGGGCTGCAGCTGGAGCCGAGCTGTGCGCAGCCGGCCCGGGGCTCACGGCCGGCGCACAGAGACGCCCCGGCGACGGGGGTGGTGGCACCGGCACCTGCGCCCATTTGAAGCGGGCGGGCTCGGGACCCGCCCCCGGCCCGGCCGCGGGGCTACAAAAGGGCGGGTGCGGGGGCGGGCGCCCGG